CTTCATGACCCATAATTGGGTCCCAAGCCCAACTTATCAGCTTTTGACCCACAAAATAACAGCAGCAGAGACCTGAGCCCCCAGCTATTTTTGTATGTTGATTTGTATCAGGTCAACTAAACATGGGCATAGTAACAATATTTTTATACTTCATTTATCCATTTTAAATACACTAACCTCACTCCTTTGTAAGAACTAAGGCAAAAATGTCATTAATTCAGAAAATCTTTTCAGGACCCCACTTTGATGTTTCAGGACCCCACTTTGGGTCCCGACCCCAACTTTGGGAAACACTGATCTACAGGAAAATGGTTTGCTTTTTCCTGTAGAAAATGGTTTGCATTTTCCTGTACATTTTGTGTATTTTGTTTTGTTGTTTGCTGTCAAAACTCATAGCAAATTATTCCCAACTGCACATATTTTTTGATATACTTCTTGATTGGGATGTTTTGGGACAAAGTTATAAAATTCAAATCTTGACAACAACGTAAGAATAATGGCAGAATATCAATAAGGCTAGTTGGCATCCTCAAAGGATAGAAATAAAAATAAAGAGTGTTTCTGCATCTGTTCCTTTTCATTTGGCTTCATACACATCTTGAGAGAAAATACTAAACTGCTACAGATTGCTGCAGTGTTTCAAAACCCAACCCAGTATCCTTTTACACGCATCTCTGGAGGAACAGGATCAACACACAGGTTTAAAACAGGTGTGCAACTGACACAAAGCTGACACATAACCACACGCTCTGACCGGCAGAGCCAGCCCAAGACATGCAAATAAATTATGCACCAACTTCCCCGCAGTCACCTATTAGAAGGCCGCAAAGAGGAAATGTAAATGCACATTAGCTTCAGGTTTTATTTTTACACTTTTTAACAAACAGAGGTGCTGTTGCACTCTTTTAAAACGTACATCAACAGTATTATAGAGATCCATGCCAACATGTTGGAATCCAAAAGAAATCCAAAGAAAAGCTGGTAAATGCTTGAATTTATAACTAGTTGAAACTTATTAAAGAAGAAAACAAAAAATCTCACAAATAAAAATCCCAAATGAATAGCAGAAAACAGGAAAACCTTTGCTTTCTTTTATTGCAGGCTGCTAATCTGCTTAAAAAGTGTTTCAAACAAAACAGACTAACCATATCTGCTGTTCAGTTGGCAAAAAGCTGACAGACGTGAACAAAAAAATGGTGTGATAGCCATGAGTCTTTAACAGCTCATACTTGGTTTATTTTGTTAATGTTTAATCAAAATGGCATCAACTTTGTCATTTCCCATGAAATTTTCATTTAAAACTCCGGATGAAAGGTGGTACACATTGAATAAGGCATTTCATCCTTTAAGTATCTCAGAAACTTGAAGTAACAAAGACACTTGGTCAGGATTTGGCCAAAGCCAAGCCAGAAGGTTTGGGAACAAGTTATGCAATGTTTGTTTGTTTTTTTTAATCAGCAGCCTGCTTCACGGCATCATCTTGCTTTAATTATACTGATTGAATCCAGTGAGGAGACTACATCACTGAGTTGATTGTACCTCAGTTCTGCTGTGAGATTTGCTGCAGGAAACACTTGCTCAGGAAGTGTGAGAAGAGGCTGCTGCTGTAAAAAAAAAAAAAAAAAAAAAAAAAAAAAAAACACTATATTATATTGTCCTGGATGAAGGCTGACAGGCAGCTTGTTTAAGAGAGCAGCTGCTCTTCCTGAACATCACTCAGCTGAACTTCCGTTTACTGGAGAGTCAAACATGTTCCTCTCTCTCTAACATGGCTGTGCGCGCGCGCAATGAGAAGGGTTGACGGACAGAGACTGTTTTTTTTTTTTTTTTTTTTTTTTTTTTTTTT